ATTTATATTTGTTGCCCAGTGGCTTGATGCTTAACAGCAGCTGCAAAATGGACTGGATTCTGATGAATTTCCTCGTTGAGGCTGGTTGGTGGTGAGTAGCAGCATTATAATCTCAGCATTTTTCAGAATTCCCCACACCCTCAGCTGGTGATCCTGGAGTGATCACTTTCTTTGGAAATACTAGACTGCAGCCTGAAAACATTCAGGTTGTAAACAATTTGGGGTTTAAAATCTCTTCCCAGATGAAGAGAACTCATTTCTAGCAAAAACTGTCTGCCTTTTTCTGACGTGTCTGGTATGACCATGAATGGAAAAAAGGTACCAGGTTTTATAAATGACTGGACCTGATCCAATCCTGTACTTAGTTTGGAAAGGATATAAACCTTTAACTTGCTATGATATGAAGAGCAGACCCAAGGCTAATGTGAGAATGTGTGGCAGTGAGAACAAGCAGCATAAGCATTTGGAGCATTTTTGAGCCTGCCAAGTATTGATTGGTAATGGGAGGGAATGAGAGGAGAAGCATTTCAATTTGGCACCCATATGTGATTCTGGTGCTGTCACAGTGAATTAGCAGGACTTTCTTTTCCCTCTAGTCCATCCCAGGCTTTTGTCATTGAAGTATCCCCTTTGCTCATATCAACTTGTTAAAAGACAAAGTGGAAAAAAACCCAAATAAATTCCCAGAACTTTTGCCCCCAAAAAGCCTGATTATGTTATGCTGCTATCCTCTGAATGGAGGCTGAACAGTTCTAACGACTGTCACAGCATAAATGGTATAGGGGATTCAAGCTACAATTACTCATTTTGCACAGTCACTTAATCCACTAATGGGGAGAAATGGGACAACAGTTTAAGAAGGCAAGAGAACTGTCAGAGATTATTAAATCTGTTGGGATCATTTGGTCTAGTAGTCTGTCTTGACCCAAGTACATGCTTCAGCTAACGCCACAGACTTAATGCCTCCGGTAATTAGAGCAAGAAGCGATGGGTCATCATTAGCAACTAGAAATTCAGGGCTGTATTTCATCTGGAAGGCAGCATCTTCAACAGGGCTTACTTGTTGCCACTGCAGATCATCTGTGAGTCACAAGTGGTACATTGGTCTGACTCATTTGTGTGATTTAGCAGAGGCTTTTTAATACATGCTCACTGTTCCGTATGAATAGTTTTTCTAAATAGTTGCCCAACAGAAAAAGGCACAACATTGGACAACCCTGTGCAGTTAATACTGATGCTCTTATTTACAAGATGTTGGTGATTTCTTTATTGTTGTGCAGTTCACAGTTCATATTACTTTTGATTGTAGGTTTGAAATGTCTTTGTCATATCTGTGAAACTGAAGAGTGAAGAAAGGAAAGCCAAGCAAGCATGGAAAGCATCAGTAATTGGCATCTTCAGAACGTACAAGAGCCAATCTAATACCATTCAAGGCATATATTCACAGAATACTTTCACAAGGGTTTCACAGATCCAAAATCATATTCAGTCCTGCACATTGCCAACAGCATGAATGAAAAATTATATACCACAGATTCAGTGTTTTTGCAGATACTAGGAAATTTCTAAGTCCTCTTAAAAGAGTACTGCTAAGTAAATGAAGATGCAGGTAGAAAGGAAATTAGCCACCATCTGAACTCCACTACAAGGTACTATGGAATGGGAACTGAAAGAATACAAATGGGGTGATAGCTGAGTCATTCCATGTAATCTTACACAGATCAGCAGGCAGGGAACTGTGACTTGAGAAAACCAAAGTACTGAAGTGTGGCTTGAAAATATTTGAGAGAAGCTGTATAAATCAATGGATGGTCATCAAGCAGAATTTGGGTGTCTGTGGTTGGCTAATTAGATATGTGATGCTGAAAACCTCAGAGACACCACCAAAGAGGGAAGGAAGGTCGCAGCGCTTCAGCAAGATCTGTCTAGAGAAACTGTCTCTCAAAAATATGCCCAGACCCTAGCGGGGGCTTAAGACACTTCTAACAATCACTAGAAAAGAAAGGGATTTGGAGGTGTCAAAAAGATAGCCATTCTCAGTGTGGATGGGAATCTCCTTAGAAACAAGTATACTTGGGAGTTTAATTTGCCAAATTAATCAAGTTCAAAAGCTCTCAACAGTGTTCATGTCCATGATATCTGATGGATTGTGAGCTAACTAGAACTGAAGAGACCTTTTGTGGTTTTGTCTTCACATGGTTGCCTGGCTTCAGCAGAGTGCTTTTTATCTCCATGAAGCTGTTGTGAGCTTTTCACAAAAGAATGGGTCATCTGGTCCAACCTCCCTGCTCAAGCAGGGTCATCCCAGAGCACATGGCATAGGGTTGCATACAGACAGTTCTGGAATATTTCCAGTGAGGGAGACTCCACAACCTCTCTGGGCAACCTGTTCCAGTGCTCAATCTGCCCCACATTCAAGAAGTTCTTTCTCATATTCCAGTGGAACTTCCTGTGCATCAGTTTCTACCCATTGTCTCTTGTGCTGATGCTTGAAACCACAGAGAAGAGCCTGGCTTCATCTTCTTGATGCTCTCCTTTTTTCCTTCTGTGCTCCTTAAAGACTGAGGAATAAGAAATAGCCATTCTTCACTCCCTCTTGCTGGTGTGCCTGGGGAATTAAGTTGTTGTAGGCTCAAAGGAAATATTTTCTCAGGAGACTGTCTTTATCAGCCTTTGGGGCTTGGATCCATCTCAGATTTTCTCCATCTTAGTCTTACTTTATACAAGCACTGTCATGGTAGAAGGTCCTGAGAAGGACACATCTGATGGAGGTTTCTCTGCAGTACCACTACATCAGCTCAGTAGACCTCACTGAAGAAGCCTGGATTCTTCCCACTTTGTATCTACATCCTCTTTTATCTATGCAGATGTTCTGATTTCTGCTCTGTCCTTACTCTTTACTCTTTCCTTCTGATGCAGGCTTTACCCACAGTAACACTCCCTCTTCACACATGGCCATCTGCCTCTACTTTTCTGCTGTATTCTGTGCTATCTGGTCCTCATGTGACAAACACAAGTTCTTGTGAAGTCAAGACTGGCTGCTGCCTCCCATACCACTCTAACCTGTATTTTGCTGGTGGTGTAAAGGCCTTTATCAGTTGTAGTATTTACTGTCAGCCAAATAGTAGCATAATATGTGCTACTTATAGGATGGAAATAATGGATGCATTATAATAATGATGATTATGAACATAAAGTATGTTATTATATAAAATGACCAAAACCACTTCATCTCTCTGCCAGCACCATGTCTCTGGACAGCTGTCATGAAGAGAGACCTTACAGGTGCAAGAAAGAAAGACCCTTGAATCTCTCCTTCCTTCACAATACTCATCTGAGGTTCTGAGTATTAATGTGTGGTGGTGTCAAGAGTGTTTAGGAAGTTGTCTGCTGCTCTATGTGCAGCTGACTATCTGAGGGGGCACAAGGAATTTAATGATTTAAGGGCATGCTTAATGGAATCTGACCATTTAAAAGGCTCATTCTCCTCTCTTGTACAATCTACTTGGATATAATCCCATCCAACCTGCCCCTGCAAGTTCTGTTCCAGCCTGTTATTTTCACTTACCTTCTTTTAGACCCTACCTTTTATCTGGTTTCCCTAGCAGAGCTCACATAAACTGCTGGCCCCTCAGAGGAAAGACAGCCAATAAGTGTTGAAGTGAGCAAGAATGTGGTATGAGTCACTAAACATTGGGGAGCCAAGAAAATCTTTTTCAGTGCCCAACTCTAGTGGAAGCTGGTTTGGGAGGTAAATGCCTACATGTCTTTGTGAAGGAGTCCTCGAGTCCCTCAACAAAAAGACAGTGGCAGCTGTCTGGCATAGAAGGGTTTCCTTTGTAGGTGCTGGAGAAACAGATGTCCTGCAGGTATTTGTGCTCCAATTAATTACTTAAATTAATGTACTTCATATTTGACTTAATGAAGGACATAATGAAGGATAACTAGCCACAACAGTGCCTCTCCTGAGGTAGCACCCAGTTCCCACCCAGGTGCTGCCTTTTGCCAGCTGCTGCAGAGGCAGTAAATTGGTCAAGGGATGTCAAAGTTCATTTTCCAGGGGGAAATAGTGATCTTACCCAAAAATGGAGTGTGCCTTCCTTAATAAGGAATGCTTAGCAGCATGGGATCTCGTCTCTATACTCTGTCACTCTCTTCCATGGGCTGATGTACCCTTCTTTCTAAAAGCCAGCAAGCTTCACGGAATCAATGAGGCCTGATCAATTGTTTTTGCTTCTGAATCATCCATATGGGGTTGTTAGCTGAGCTGCTGGCAGAAAACAAGAGGCAGCTTTCTGTCTGTTTACTGTAAAGAAAGCGAAGCAAGCTACAGGAGGGGACAGGCTGCACAATATTTACTGTCAATACAGCCAGAGAGAGAGAGGAGATATAAGGAGAGGGGAGGAGAGGGGAGCAGGGGTTGCAGACTGCAACCCCAGTGAATGATCTGAGTGTAAAAATACCCATGCATTTTCAGATGGAAAGAGAGTGGATTAGTCAACAAGGAATAACTGAGAGCATTTAAGAAAAGGTGTAGTGAAGGTCTAGCGAGGCAGGGATGTACTAGTGGCAGGCAGAGTAATAATGCTGTGCATGAATGTACTGAAGCTGCACTGCAATCTGAAAAGCACTTCCAGATCTGCCCTGAGACAGAGCAGTTGCTGGGGTATTTTTGTGTATGCCTGCATGCAAGATCCACCATTTAAAAGTGATAGGATGAATAATAACAATTGAACTTAGAGAATATTTGGAGATAGTTTTCTGAATGAGCTGGATGTCACCATTGTAGCTCAGACCAGAAAAAGAAAATTATTAAAAATAGGCATGCTTCCTTGCTTCTCTCTTTTACTCAACCACAGCACAGAGATATTAGGTGACTTGAGCTTCACAGGGCAAGAAGGCTCTGAGCAGCTCTCTCTGAGTGTTCCTCTACTTCCAGAGGCAGGTGAACAAGTGAAAAGTGAATTCACACTTTAAAGAGCAGCGAAGACCATCTTGCCATGAAACCATTCACAGATGAAGATGTAGAAATCTACATCCAGAGCAAGGTAAGACTTTATCTGACCAGATTTTCTGTCTCCCACACTAGGTGTTGATTCTGAAGGGTGCCAAATTTGACAGTTAGTTGCTCGCCTGCTGTCTTCATTTCTGAGACAAGACTGGGTGAAGTTTCATGAGAACTGTATTTCTAATGAGATTTCTAGGTTTCTGTTGCAGAATCTTATCTGCCGGTAGCCTAATTTTTCAAGGTGCTTGTCCTCTTCTTCTAGGTATCCTGAATTTTTGTTCCTGATCTGGAATTCCAGATGTGATACTAGCTGTTAATTGCCAGCATTTAAATCTAAGGACATGTCCTTGTCTCTCTCCCTGTCTGATGGTCTTGACTTGACTGAAACAAGACCAACACCAGGCGTTGCCTCTAAGAAAGATTCATGTAGGAACTGCAGAGACAGACCAATATTGTTAGAATTCAGTCATCAGTCTGTCACCTCAGCTTAGGATACTTATCTATATACCATGATTAAAATAACATGTCTCATTAGCACATGCAGACTGGAATCTCATTTTCTATTTTATAAGATATTCCAGCACTCAATTTTTCCCCCATTATGAAATGAAATAAAACAGAATGAAATCTTCTGTGAAACAATACTGTTTAATAAAAGCTCTAAGTGAGCCATAACATTTTTTAAAGCTGACATGTTTCATGGCAGTACTTAGCTAGATCCTGTTTTATAGTCTGCTTTCCCCAACAAAATGCAAGATACCAAAATGACAAATAATTTCAAAATTAGAAAGTGTAAGGCTTTATTTTCTGTAAAGGGTCACATATTCTGGTACAATGAAAGGTTTGTTTTCTCTATGGAAATGTTTTGGTGGCAAGTATGAAAGTTCTCCCAGAAATATACCTTCTTCAGGCATAGGGTGTTGTGCACAGGAAAATCATTCCATGAGAATCTGTTCAGTGAGCTATAACAGTGAATGCTTCTCTGAAGATTTAAAAAGAAGAGCTACAAAGGAGGGAACAGAGGGAAGCCATGCACAGGAAAATGCTCATATGACAGCCATAAGTACAAGGAACAGAAGCAGACTGTAGTTAAGTGAGGCTCATAGTTGCCAATATTTTAGGTTATACTGGAAGTCTGTTTTCTAGCAGCCCTCCAGCTCTGATGGATTCTTAGTTTCTGCCTGCTCCTGAGTCTCTTGTCCAACTTTAGGCAGTTCAGCTTGTCAAATGCTGCCTGTTTTTGGAAACAGGTCAACCACCTGGTGCAATGAATCTCTATAATACCAGAGATTTCATCCTTAAGCCACTCATCAAAGGAAAAATTTGAATGCGTATGGAGTGGATGTGGCTGGGTAAATAAGAGAAAACCCAAATGTTCTTAACAGTTCCTAATAAATCCCAATCCTGCTTCCTTCCCCCTTAATAAAACCTTAATTGACCTTGTTATTCAGGTTTTGTGCATTTTAGCACAATTCCCTGAGTTAAGACCTGGTAAGGAGAATACCAGTAAGTCACAGAAGTGACTGTCCAGCAAAGCCCTGACAATGTCTCTTCTCCCAATGTGTCTGTGCTGGTACCTGAAGTATCTGAGATAAATGCCTTGACTCTTCAGACTCACGTTCTGTTTTCTGATTTTCTGCCCTCCCTTCTGTAGGAAGGTTATATTTTCCAACAGGATGATTAGGGAGCTAATTATGGTTAGCTAATTATAGTGAGCAGCCTCTGTCAGTCACATGCCCATTGTTCTTTTATCCCTGCTCCAGTGATGGGGAGTACACATTGAAAGTGGAGTTTAGTGGTACTCCTTCAACTGGTTTTTTGATTGTATACTCTTATAAAGAATTCATGACAACTTCTGTAGCCTAGCCAGTAGGTGATGAAGGTAGAATTAAATGAGGCCAGGCTGGGTTGAATGGATGGATTGTCCCTGGATACTGGAGGTGGCAAAAAATGTTTCCAGCAGGTGCCCCTTAGAGAGAACAGAGCATGAGCAATGCATACAGAGGGCACTCTGGGTCTCTTTTTTAGCTGACCGACTGTATACTTTTTATACTCTTCAGTTTAAAAAAAGTCTGTTTTTTGTCTAAAAGCTCTTAGAGATAGACAGCTTTCTCTGGCACTCACCATTCACTTGCTGGAAAAACCATTAGGTATTTTGTCAAGCTTATTGGACTGTTCTAAGGAGTTGTTCTGGATGAACAAAAATAAGGTGGAGAAAATAGATACAGTATAGATACAGATGGAGAAGTGCCATAAATGAAAGCTGAGATGAGGAGGTGAAAATGAATATGGGCTAAAATCTTTCAGTTTTGTTTTTTTTTTTAAGTACATGTAAGTAGCTAAAACTGCTCTTAGAGAAAAGGATTAATTGGAATGAGGAGGAATGAGGGGGAGGGTGAATTACTAGGGAAATTAAAGGATATTATATAAACATAAAGGACAACATGGTGTTAAGATAGCAAAAAAGCAGGATGTCAAGGGTGGATGAGAGCCCAGTCAAGGGAATATGGTGCTGTTGTCTGATGTATTTCCCACTTCCAAAAGCTATTCAGCTTAGTAAAAATACTGTTAATTTGTTGTCTGGGGGAGGAAGGTATTCAAACTCTGCTCATCTTCAAGTTCAGTATTAGTCAATTGCTGTTCATGGTTAATGGATGTGAGGCAAGCACTAGTCTGCTTTAGTCCATTAAATGGTCCCTTTTTGTGAAGAAGTGAATTTCTTTGTCCTCTTCCAGGCCCTGGGGACACATTTCAACACACTTGAGTGTTTTGGGCTGATAGTTCAACATTTGACATAAAAGTGTCCAAAAGGACTTTTAAAGAAGTACTTGTCAGTGATATTTTTAGAAGAGAAAAAAGAATTGTTCAGGTGCTGAAGAAAATGCTGAGTGAACAGGACACAGGAATTTTGGAAAGCCATAGGTTGGTTTGGGTTGGAGGGCACCTTTAAAGATCATACAGTGCCATTTCCCTGCTGTGGACTGTGACACCTTCCACTGGACCAGGGCTCAAAGCCCCATCCAGCCTGGCCTTGAACACTTCCAGGGATGGGGCATCCACAGCTTCTCTGGGCAGCCTATGCCAGGGCCTCACCACTCTCACAGTAGAATTTTTAACTTATGCTTTTGCTTCCTTTTGGTCTTTGATAATAACAAATAACTGTAGTAACTATGTTTGACTGGCAATTATGCTTTATCATTCACTTCAGTCAGGTGATGAACTCCGTTTCTGATTTTTCTTTTCTTGCCTGCAAACAATAATGTTTGGTAGAATATGGTGAGGAAAAAGAAGAATCAAGAAGAAAGCAAAAGCTGCAACCAAATGAGATGAAGCAGAGGATCCAAAAAAGAGCAGTAAACAGTCTTGATATTTCACTCTGCATAAGTAATTCTTGTTGCATAAGTAATGACAAATATGTTCATGAACTTCATTAACAGTAGCTGAATTTCCTCACTTTGGTACATGTGTAAGGGTATTTGGGAAATATTAAATGCCCTTTACTAACATGGTTCTTTCATGTTCCTCCTGTTGAATCTCCTTGTTCAGATGGTGACAGTCCCCTTATGCTCCCTTCATTTTTAGTCATAAGTGAAGGTTCAGGTTTATCTTATATTTTTCAGAGTTGCCCACCCCTCACCTCAGTTCTCCCAAGACTCAGACATTTCACTGAAATAATTTTCAATAATTCATTATGCTACTACTTCTTGAAGAATAGCCCTTTAAGCCACACAAACACCTAGTTCCCAATGGGATCAGCTTTGGAAAGATGCTTTCACACTATCTAGGAGTAGAGTCTCATCTGTACTTCAGCCATAAAGACAGTGTGGATACTTTCAGTGTATAAGATAGGCATCTAAATGATGCCACATACGTCTGCCACCTGACTAATGGACAGATCTGTAACTCTTGATGTCCTGTCAGCTCTTGGAATGGAACATATCCTGACTTTGAGAATGGTTACCATATGCAGGGGAGTAACTGGTATTCTGCATCAAATGGATAAAGAATTGAGACTGTAGCTGTAGTTGATAACAAATTTATCTGTGTAATGAACTCCTTTCCTTCCATCCAATGGTGTTGGCATGGAAATATCAATTAATGCTCAATAGTCTTGAATATTGACCCTTTGGTGTTCACAGCTCTGTCTCATGGTAAATTGGTTCCAATACACAGGGAAACAATTTTTATTCTCAGTGCAGCACAAGCACAAATTTCAGGATGCTTTAAGCTGATTTGTCTGCTTCCCACTGGAGACAAAGACTGCAATTACCTGCAACATGAAGTGTCTTTCCTGGAACTGACAGGTGGAAAGGCGGCATTACCTGGTTTCCAAAGCAGTGGAGGAGGTGCAGAAAATCATCCAGCAGCTGACTGCAGAAATCAGCTACAAGGCCGTGCGATTCCAGGCTATCTCCAACTCTGGCATTCACAATGAGAACATTAAGGTATGAACAAGAGCTCTAATGCACTCTCTGGCAGCCTGTAGGCAACCAGAAAATGATTTCTCCATTATGTAAGTGTTTGTATGGGCAGGTACCTCACCCAAAACACCACAGACGATGTGCTGACACTGTGGAGTTCTAGTGACTGGGTCATTGGCACTCACTCATGGACATCTCACAGCCAGAGGAGCATTGCAGAGAGATGGCTAAATCAAGCAGAGCCTCTTAGAGCTGCTGTGTTTACAAACAGCATCTATTGCCAGAGCTGTCAATCCACAAACAGAAGCCAAAGCTCTTTGGGAGACAGAAAGAAAAAGTTACGCAGCAGTAACCTAAGAAAAAATGTTCATGCCTCCATGAGCTATGACCTATATTTTTCACAGGTGGAAAAGCTGTCAACTCACTAAAACAAAAGAAAGAAAAATTAGAAGTCCTTCTTCTGCTATGAACATTAGAAAGCTTCTTCTGAAAAATATATTTTTCCTTGTCATGAATTGGAATTTCTTTTTATTGGGAAGACAAAAAAGGTTATTAGTGGGAGAAGTGAAATGTCTCCCTGTTTTAGACCTTCAGACATGAAAATAATGATGCCCTGTCCCAGTTTTAACAGAAGAAGTCTGCTTATTTCTTGTGACTCCATTACACAAAAGTAACTAGAAAAGACACAAGAAACAATTACAACAATGGCAACTTCAGATGAAAACAATTTTTTTCATCTGAACTAGTTGAAATACTAATGTCAACCATTATACTGAACCACAGCCATTTACAGATCAAAACACAGCAAATACATAGAAGCATGAGGCAACTTTTGCAGCTCTCTGGGACTGAAAGGGAAGAAGTCTTTATATGAAACTGCTGGAATGGTATGGAGGTGGAGGCAAAATATAATGCCCTGGGACAAAGACACTGAGATTCATAGCTTTCCTGGGATTTTGTGTACCCCAGAGCGTGTGGTCTTGTCAGTAAGTATGGCCACAGTGACGTAAAACAGTGCCACATCCTGGTCCATGAGTTCCTGAGTGCCAGACTCTGCCAGCCACCTCTTGTGCTGGAACAAACCTGCTTGGCTAATGAGGTCTGACAGGACCAGGGTCAGGGTAAAATTGTTGTTCTGGAAAGCAAAGCAGAACAAAACCACCAAGGCAATCTATTATGAGCAGTAACTTGGTATTATAGTATGCAGATCTGAACAAATTCTGCTTGAAAGAAATCCTCAAAATCTGTTTCCTTAAAAGTGGCAGATCTGTTGTTCATGCTTAACTGAACCCAGTGTTACAAATCTGTGGAGGTAACACTCAGAGGACCTGACTAACTGTCCTGTATGTATGGGGCAGCAAAGAACGAGTTGATGAGAAATTATTTTGGTTTAGGCTGTCTCCCTCCAAAAACTGGAAACTTTAATACCATTGCTGACATACTTCAACACAGAGGAGACTTGTGTCCAGGGAAAGTCAATGTATTCATATATTCATTATTCCATGTTTAATTTTGCAACATTTTTTTTTCTGTTGGCTAAATCTAAAGGACTTTTCAGAACTTTCAGCTTCTGGCTAAAAGGAATCAATTTAACATGGTGAGACATCTAGATTTGTTGAGAAGCCTCAAGCTCCCTTCTAAATATGAAGGGCTGAGTGCAGAATAGTTAAGAAAAGTGTTCAGGTATTCAGTGTTTTCCTGTGACCCATGTAACAAAAAGTCATGCTTTAATGAAAAACCTGAATTAAAATTCAGAAGAACAAAACAGATTATTTAATTTTTTAAAGTTCTAAGTGTTTGTTTTTGTTGTGGCCCACTATTTTTGGAGCTGTCAACTGTGCAAGGCTGATGCAAAAGCTGTGGAGGCTTTAGTAAAGTTATAATGAAGAGGTCCAGACTGATCACTGGTACTGCACTGCCCAGTGGCATTGCCAAGTGTTTAATCAAGGCGGGGGCAGTGGGGGGATTTTCCTTTAACAAACTCTAAGCATCCAGGGAAGCTTGCAGCTTTGCTCTGTGAATGAATGACCTAGCACATGCTTTCTCTCTGTTCTGTGTACTTGTCTTCCTTTCTGCTTCTCTCAGGATCAGCCAGCTTTACTGGCCAAGTGGTCAGCTATGCTTCGGAGGAAGCGCCCATTCCACCCATCCATCCAGGTACAAAGCCTTCCTGGTGCCTGACAATCCCTGTGCTTGCTTCCTCCGCACACACCCTCTTCTCCAGACAACTGCACCCACCACACTGATCCTTCCATGGCTGTTTTGTCCTCTGCACAAGAGCTTGCTTTTTTTTTTTCCCCCTCAAAGCATAATTATATTCTTTCTAACCTACTGTTTCTGTCTCCCTGGAACAGCCTGGCCAGGGTCACAAGAATGAGGTTGTATTTAATTTGCCCAGCATATTCTAGACAGGATTTTAATACAGCAGAACTGGCCACAAGTTACACACCCCAGAATTGGAGACTCTTGCTCGAGCCTGTGACTTTCTGGGGCCTGTGGCCTGCACATGGTATGTGAGACCACTGTGTGACAGAGCATAGGTGTGGGACTGGGATTGGTTTAGGCCAAGAAGACACCAACTGCCCAGCTTTACAGTACTAATCCCAGCCTTGTGCATTCTGTTGTTTTCTGGTAAGCCCCAGGTGGAGGACCCTTGTGACTTGCATTTGTAGGCACTCACATAACATGTGCAGCTCTTCCCTTTGCAACTTGTTGGGTGCCAGTGCATACAAGACAGCATTTTGGTTGGGGGGAATGGTTGTTTACCTGCAAATGTGGCTGAGGCAGTCAGAGGAGCAGTAACTGCATGACAACCATTGTATTTTTTCCTTATGGAGCCTACTGCTCTGTTTCTGAGCTGCCCACAGGATTTCTCAGCCCCACCAGACCTGATGTGTGCAGATTAGCTTGATCTCCAGTGTCATCCTTTCAGCATCCTCCTGCCTTTATGGTTTATATTTGACAAAAGAGCAGCATCCTGGTGTTTTCCTTGCTGTTTCTGTGCTTCTGGCTGGCCATCTTTTATTTTCCAAATCTCTTGCCAAGGAGCAGAGAAGACCAGCTGCTCCCTGTGAGAGAGAGGCAGGAGGTAAGCATAGCAAGGCAGCCCCTGCCCTATGGTCCCTGAGTGAGACAGACACAAGGAGGGCAGCTGGGCCAGCCAAGAGTCTGGATCATCAGGAAAGTCTGCTGGTAAGTCAGGTCTGAGGTCAAGCCACTCCCCCACTCACTGGAGCCCAGGACTAACCTGAAATAGGGGTCCCAGACCCATGGGCAGAAGGTGTGGATAGAAGTCTCAGAAAGGCTGCTTAGGGATATTAAAACTTGTTAGTGCCCTCAGGGCCCTAGCACCTCTGTGGCAAACTTTAAATCAGCTGAGCTGAGCTGAGGAAGGCTACCAGAGTGTTTTGGATTGTTACAGGAGAGTGACAAGCGTGTTTCATTTACCGTGGGTGTAACCACCTCACAGCAGTGGCTGTCACTTCACATCCTGCTCATGCAGCAGCTTCACTTTACTTATGCCAGTGTAAGTTAGGCTTGGTAGCAAGTGGACCTGAAAAGCTCCTAAGCCAACATGGTAAAAATCGGAAGGAATTTGAACTCACCTTCTGGAATCACAACTGCTAGATGCTTCCAAAGTAGCACTGGACATGTCTGGCTATGCCCTGGGCCAGACAGATGATGTTTTGTTGTATTTGAGTCACCTCATTCTTTCCTTGCAAATACTGTCTCAGAACTGGATTTTATTGGAAAATGGTTTTTCCCCAAGTGAGGCAAATGAACTGGCTTGCAAACAAGCCTGTTTAAGGCTTCCTTGTCCATTGGCTGCTGCCTCCATCCTTACACTGTTTCTGTCATGCTCATCAGGAGATGCAGTTCCATTATTACAGCAGGCCAGGACCTGGACTTGTTTGTGGGAGTTTCTCTGAGCCTCTGTAGGCTCAGGCATGTCACTTGCCTTATGTCTCTGTCCCTTTAAGTGTCAGTCAAACAGAGTGAAACACTTGTAAAATTAATGGGCCATAGCCTTATTTTGCTAATGTCTGTAGTGCATTTTGAAAGAGATCAGAAAGGTAGACTTTTTGCCATAGTTATTACTAGCATTGGACTCTGGGCTTGTCTCAAGTAACAATTCTGAGATAATAACTAGCACTATTTGGGTTTCCCTTGGCTGGATCTCAAAACATATTCTCTCATGCCTTCCTGCTCTTTGAAAGCTGCTGGTTATTACATCTCAGGCAATTGCAGACTAGAAATAGCAAGAGAAGGGGGAAAACATGGCAGGTGTGGTGGCAAATCAGCCAGTGAGCTCTTATCTTCTAAGAGCTTCACATCAAATGCCTTCTAAGACAATTTCCTTTTAGTCTGCATGCCTCCAAGGTAACCCTTAGACCGGTCCTGGCTGTGCTCAGTTAGTCCCATCATACCATGGTTTGTCCTTCTTTTCCAAGCTCCCAGTTTAACCCAGTACTTCCTCAACCCTGTTTTCCTTACTTTAGCTCATGGATCTGCCCTTGTCTCCTCTCTCAATCTCTCTGAACTCTCCCAGGTGTTAGCACCCAGCCAGTTCCTCATCACAGTTCCTCTGCGTGGCCTGACGGGTTACAGGGAATGCCAGGTACGGCACTGGCGCTATTACACCGTGCATGGAGCCAAGCTCCTCTCCTCCGTGCGGGACCCTGAGGAACTGCATCAGTGGCTGGAGGTGGAGCAGTTCTCAAAAAGCCTTCAGCAGTGGCATGAAGAGGATGTGAACATCGAAGGTGATCTGGTTCCAGCCAAAGTCCTTATCGTCTTCCGGGAGCTGGTGGAGAAGTCTATTGTCTCCTGTAACCTCTCCAGTGAGTTTGGTGGGGACAGGTGTGAGGGAATCCATCATACACACACAGTGTTTGGCTTGTGTGCTCAGAAGCTGAGAAAACTCTCCCAAACCACGAAAACTTCAAGCGATTGCATTGACAGACACAGGCCTGCATTGAAGATAGAATTCAGTAGTTCTTGGGCTCTTTGTACCAAGATGTTACTCCTTTCTTAGGAATTTGGGTAGAGTCTCCAGCCACATCACCCTCTTCAGCTAAGAGGCAGCCCAGATTTTTAGAACATTTAGGAGTTTGGGAAAAAAAATCTTTCTCTACTACATCACCTGCAATATATTTAAATTATTAGGGAAGGCAGTATAGCAAAATTGGATACTGGAAAGATGTGTACCTCTGAGAAGAACGTGTTTGAAGATATTTATAGGGCAGATAATGCTCTGGAGAAACCTTAGCTGCCCACAGGTTTCCAGCATGGGATGGTGAGAACTAAGTAGAAGGACTTCTACTGAAGTATGTTGGATAAGTGCTCTTCTCCCCTGTGTCCAAGCTACTCCTGTGGTGCCTCTTCCCATAGCATGTTTCCAGGATGACTTTATTCATCAGTAGCCCAATGAGTCTTCTGTATTTCAGAGCAATAGAAGCTATTTCCACTCATCTGATCATACTCTGAATTGTAGTCACAGAAAAAAAAAAAAGTTACAGTCAAGCTCTGCTAGACTATGGCATTTTTTTCAGGAAATACTTGTTATCATAGGATTGGAAAGGTGGATAGGAATGAAATTTCACCGTTGAGGCTGTAAAATACCAGCTGGAACAGGCTTGCTTCTGAGGCTTTACTTATGTGAAAGCTTTTGTGTTGGGCAGCAGTCACATTTACAGTCGCATCAAGTTCTTGAGTGAAAGTTGAGTGTTGCAGGAAAGGTACTTGCAAGGACCCCAGAGAGTGGAGTTTAGGTTGATTATTCTGATGCCTTTTTTGTAAGGTCCGCTGGGAGGAGATGAGCTAAGATGAAGTCAGGATAAGCAATTACCTTTTTTTTTTTTCTGTGAAGAATGGACTTCCCTCATCCCACAGTATGGCTAAAGTTACAGAAAAACTTCACTGATTTCTTCACTTCCCTGTTTTTCCATTCTTTCAGCATTAGCAAAATCAGCTTCTGAGGTGTCTCACTTTTCATTAGTGGAAAAATAGGTATAAGCATTGCAATGCTTTTGGAAAAGCCATGAACATATTTACATGCTGACACAGTGGTTGCTCTAACACTTTTCAGCTGCTAGAGATCCTTGTTGGGAGCTTGGGAACAGAACAGTTCCTGTTTTGATGCCAGGCTTGGCTCAGCAGGGACATAGCACATAGATTTTCTGAGGTTTATGAAGTTCTGTTTGGGATGGACTTTACTCTTTGCAAGGTAATTCACCCCATGAATTGCTCCTTAGCCCATGCCACTCAAAATGAGGTGGGAAAACACTCTGCTCTTTAAACTGCTTATGTTCATCTTCTCAGGCTTTCATCATTGGGTTAGAGGATGAACACGCAATTGGCTCAGATGGCAGAGCTGAAGGGACAATGATCCTCCCTCAGTGACTGGGACAGAAACTTCTTCCATGAACTCAACTGGACCAACAGGAAACATCCTACAAAGTCCATTAGTTGCAGCTTGCTTTCCTTTCTGTACTCTTACCTTTCTGTTGTTTTGTTCCTGGAGATGAGCCACTCTTCTTTCACACTGAGGAAACTTCTTTCCTCCAAATCACCTTGGAACTAGCTCTTCTTAAAACTCAACACTCAAGTGATGTATAAGTTAGTCTTTTCTGGGTGACTGCTCTGCACAACAGACCATAAATTCTGGTATTGTCTTCTGTGCAAGTGCATCTCCAGAAACAAACTTTACAGATACATCACAAAACATTCTGAATGACTGGCAGTGCTAAGTGTGATCTGGCAAGGGTCTGATCTCAGGTTCTCTGAAGGAAGAACATCTTTAGATAGGAAGTGTTCATCTGGTCCTCTCCAATCTGCAGTAACCTCCTTGTAGTGTACCATTAGAAATGTTAGGTTGCATCACTTGTCTAGCTTTATTTTTAGGAACCTGATCCTAGGGTTTAAGAGGACCCACAAAGGGAAAAAAAAAAGCATTATAATTGAGTGTAAAGTTAAGAACTCTGGTCTTTCATCTTCCTGTTCTCATTCCCCAGGATAGACTTACATTGATATAGGTTTTTCTTATATTCTTCATGTGTTATTGAAGAGAAAGTGTTAAGACAGACCAATAGAACTGCAAGGTCCTAGACAGCTTCTTGCTTGGCTTGTGGAAAAGGACATTTTTATCTATATTTTTTTCTCTTGTTGTCCTTTCACAGGTAAAGTGACAGTGCTGGAAAGCTTCAGCTCAGTGGTCCGTGTGGCTGTGGAGACGTCAGAATCCCAGGTTGAGGTGGAGCTGGTCCCTGCTGTGGAGATTCCAACGTGCTGGCCCGAGAAAGCCCGGTGGCCTCGTTGCCTTAAGCGTTGGCCTTCTCAGGAAAAAGTGCAATGCATCAAGGTAAACAGTGTAAAAAACACCCCTAACTCTGGGATGGAACTTACCTCTCAGGTGTCTGACAGTGTTTTACCAAAGGAAGAACTGCATGGTGATGGCAGTAGGGTTAGAAGATGTATTCTCTAAAGAGAGAAGCAATGTTTCAAAATATTCTGTCAGAATTTATTTCGATTTTGTTTTCCCCCCCTTACAGCGGTAAATTCTGTTGAAAAATCTGAGTTAACTTTTTATTGCATGAGTCTCTAGCAAACAGTTCTGCCTGCATCACACAGCTCTGACATGCATCATTCTTGCTCTGCCTCATGTAAGACTTCAGCAAATGGGCTGGTGTCTTGCAGTTTTCCTTCCAGCTCAATCCCATCTTTCCCTACAACACTCATGGCTGGATTCGGGCACTTCAGTTCAGCCCCAGCTGCCAAGTTCCTGCAGGTCCCATTTCACCTTCCAGTTCTGCTCCCCTCTTATGCACAACCATACACTTTGCTCCACAGCAAAGTGCCTGCAGAGCTACACCTCTGCTTTTGTGGCACTGCTGGTACTGTGCCTGATGGCTCTAGAACAGGATCTCCCTGCAGTAACTGATACCAGCACACAAGGAAACAATGCAAAATGCGTGTTTATTCAACTAAGAATTAAGATGGGAGCCCACCTCATGTTTGCTGCCTCTGCTAACCCTGTTTAGAACAGGCTTTGAAAGATGTCACACATGCTTTTATAACCTCAGTCTGCATTGCTGGGAGAAGTTTGCCTCTGATTTGCTGTCCCACTTCCCCTGTCCTTCCACAGTCGCTGGGTTTCGACCTCCTAGCCCGCTCTAATTATCACTGGCAGCTGTGCTTCTCCCGTGCTGAGCACATCCTCATGGAGGGACTCGATGAAGATGGAGGTTGTCGCAGGAAGTGCTTCAGGGTCATGAGGCAGATGAAGGAAGATGTCTGGTGTGCTGGCAGTAAGCCTGTCATCACAGCTTATCACCTTCAGGTAGGCATCACCCTGATACCTACCTACAGTAATGGGATCTGTTGCAGTGGCTTCTGTCCAGTGATGCCAGAATGTTGTGGTGTAAATCAGCCTGTGTAACTTCAAAGGTAACTGTCAAAACTGCTGTACCTTTTCATTGCTTTGTGGTGGCAAGGAGTTCTCCTATTTTTCGGATATCTTGTTCACCATTTAGGCTGTGAATGAGGGAACCTGAGCATAGGAAGAGCATGGCTTTGAAGAATGCATGGGTTGAGATGTGAAGGAAGGCTGGTTCGGGGAGCTTTAGTCTGATTGTAACTATTATTAGTCCTAGTTGGCTTGAAGTGGAGAAGGCAACTAAATATGTGTTCCAAACTTCAATAAGAAACTAAGGCCTGTAGGAACATTATGACTGCAGCAACATAAATGGAGTTGAGGCCCCTGCTCTGTTTTGACTTCACATTGTACTGTTGTCTGTAATTCCACACTTACTTCCTGCTTCTTGACTATCCCAGCCATCTATACCCATCTCTCTCTCTGGTGGAAGGTAGTGATTTTTTTCTTTGTAGATATGCACCAAACAAACTGTCTTAGGTAAGCATAATTAATGAATTAGGTGCAAACTACAGTTCTGGTGGTGTTTCACTTGGGGTAGGAAGGGAAAAAAGAGTTAAAGGGGTGGTGGCATCCTCCCTGCACCTATTTCAGGGTTCAAGATGGCTTCAAACAAGATTTGTGAAGAAGAGAGAGAAGACTCTATGAGTGTGAGTGTGTGCTATGAGTGTGTCCCCACATCTGACAGCTGCAGACACCAATGGGCCACAGGCAGCACCATTTGTTAGATTATAGATTAAAAATCCTGTTTTCTGGGCCTTCTTCCTCCTGGAGTTGCCAGGGAGAGGCTGTACTTTTTCCATCTTGAAGCCTCAAGCCATTAGGTTCCTACAGTAGTTACTGATCTTTTGGTGTCCAAAACCAGATGCAATGCTAAGGTTTCTCATAAAGAAAAAGCTGGTGACCATCAAATGCTGTTATAGTCAGGGCCCTGTTCTAAGTCAAGATGGAGTAAAAAAATAATTGATGAGGCTGATTATAGCTCAGCTGAATGCAAAACTCCTCAGTGCCTGTAAGAACAATCTGGTGGGAAAACTGTCATATGTAAGACAAAGTGGAAACCCATTTAACCATTGGGAACAATGTTTTTCCCTGGCTGAAGGAGCAGATGTGCAGGAAGTGCTGTTGCACGAACTCTTGATTAAAGTAGGAAACTATTCAGAAGCTCTTCAGTTCTTTAGTGTAACTATAGTTCTGGCTTTTATGGCAAGAGAGGATTGGTTTACCAGACAGAAAGAATTTTTCAAAATTACTCACATTAAAAAGAAAAACAGGAAAAAAAGAAAAGAAAAATGAGAGAAACAGTTAGTGGTTAAACCAGCAGTTGAGCAGAGGCTTAGTGTTAGGTTTCTTCACATCCTCAGGTTCCCCTTGTCAGGGGTATCCAGCAATTAGGATTAAACAAGATCCTCTAGCACAGAGGAAATCTGTATCCCAGAAGCTCTGAAAGCCAGAGAGGACCACATAATTGCACTTCTTTTGCTTACCTGCATAGAAACTGAGATCTGGAATTTCAAAAATATCTAGGTACATTCTGGAAGCCAACTCTATGCTGTAGGTAGAGAGCTGGCAGTTAGGGACATAAATGCTGGGGATAAATCACTTGCTTGGGCACCTGACTGAAAAAGCACCACTGCTTTCCTTACCTCCAGAAACTCCATTGGAACTGCTGCCTGCTGAAGTAGTGTGTCAGAAGGTAACTGCTCTGCAAGTCTTCAAGGAGCAGCTCTCAGGGAGTTATAGCTTGAATTCCTCACTATGTCTTTATTCCCTGGTGACATTCAAGAAAAGGCTTTGTGGTTATTGCAGCTGTGAACAAAAAATTTTTCACATTTGAAAAACTGTTTGAGAAGAAATTTGTCAGCAGTACAACTATAGGTGAAATTCTACCTCTGTAGAAACAGTCAAGTTGAAGGCTGTGGTTCTGCCACCTCTCAAAATGTCTGAGTCCCTTTTTGGGTAGTTGAATTTGCAAAATAAAATTGGGATTCAGAGGATAGTTAAGGGACTTAGCAGAATTATCGAACACAGAATAGGTGATTTTGTACTTTAAAAAGTTATTTCAGGCTGACCAAGGCAGTCAGTATGGCTTTTTTGGTACAGTAAGTCTAAGTTCCTCAAGAAAATTCTTCTCAGTCATGGGAAAGTCTGAGAAAATGCAACATAGGCAGTGTAAAAATAATACTGTAAGAGCAATAATCATATGCATTCTGTTATTTTAACTATGTATTTCTCAAATGTTAAATTGCATAAAATAATTTTAGAGGAATAGAACATAAGACATGAAATATCACATGTCAGAAAAAAACAGGCAGCATTTGACCAGAAAGCAAGCCTTGCACCTGCAATGGCTTCTTGGAATCTCAGTCTGTCTAGGATGCAGATTTTCATGTATCTTCAGCACAAATACAGCTGAAGCTAACAAATAATTATGTTGATCTCATTATGCTCTGTCCCTCCTTGCATCTACTGGCTTCTACCCTTGCATAATAGGCCATTTTCTACAGCTTAAAATGCCTGGCATTTCTACAGAGCCTCCTGCTGGAAGATGGCAAATAGGCCAAGATTATTTTAGTGAGATCATTTTCCTTGGGCTCCTGGCTCAGTCAGTGGAGAGTGGCTCCTCTGGAGAGAGATCCTAACCAGGCACCTCCAAGCTGCTCCTCCTGGTCAGCTGGGATCCCTCCATTGCAGAAACGTTAACACAGGGAGGTAGCAGCGTGAGTCTCTGTGATTTCCAAGGCTGCCAGCCACTTACCAGCACTAAAAGTGCCTTAGTAAGCTGTGTGAGCCCTCGACAGAACCTCTAACACATCTTCTCTCCCATCTGCTTCTTGCAGACAGTGCTATTCTGGACGTGTGAAAAATACCCACGCACCAAGGATTGGCGCTGCTTCCCTGAAGCCTTTCTGAGGCTGGTACAGAAGCTGCACAAGTGTGTAAGCCAGCACTTCCTCAAGCATTACTTTCTCAAGAACACCAATCTGCTCAAATATGCCAACACCAGTGACCTGGACCTGGTGGCCAGCAAGCTGGCAGTCTTCTTGGAGAACCCTGTTTTGTGCCTGGACTAAGGCAGGCACAGGTCATGCCCCAACCCTGAGTGGATCCCCAGCTCTGCTCCCCACCTGTGGTTGCTCCCTGTGTCCCCCCAGTCGATGTTGCAGCTGGCTCTGTGAGATAGTTGGCACATGCAGCGCTAAAGAGAAGTGTCGAGCTGGCAGCAGTGGGCGGTGAAAACTGATGGGAGGTATCACTTGATGCCCAGCTGATCTAATTTGCTTTCAACAGTGACAGCCTGCCTAGAAGCTACAGCCAGTGAAACCCAACTTTGTGTGTCAGTCAGAGCAGGCAACTGCCTTGTTCTGTGTCTCCAGTCTTGTGGCACCTAGGCTGAAAGGCAGCGCAAAGGAGTCTCGCTCTGCTGCCTCTGTAACCTAGCACATGTATTGTTGCTGCTCTCACCTTTCTCACAAGGACAACGGGTTTAATTGCCTGCCTACCTCACAGGCCAGCTCTGCAGAGGGGCAGAGGAACATTTCTGAGGTGTTCTGGAAGCTGGAAGCTTTCTCAGAGGAAATTCAATTCAGGGAGATCCTGCTCCAGTAGGAATCCAGTAGGAATTTAAACATGCTGCTAGTGTTGAAGAGCTCAATGGAAGCAAGAAGAGGAACAGTGGGTTTTGCCTCTTCATTTTTCTCTCCTCCACTAATATTTTTCTTCCAATTGCTTCAAATATGTCTTTTTCATGTTTGCCTTTGCCAGTTATGTTAGTGCCATACAACCAGGGGGCTTTGGCAGGGCAGATTTCACTCCCATCCCTGGCTCTACCCAGCAGGCTGGACAAGGAGCAGGTCTTTCCCTACTTCTTAACACCCATGTATTTTTGGGTGCCGTGCAGAAGGAGAGTATTTTTCAAAGGCTCTTAGCTCCAAGACTCCCAGTTCTTTTAATTTTTTGGATGTTTCAAAACAAAATGGATTTTAGTATTTCAAAAGAACAGAGCTTTAGAATTAATATAAAGAATGCTGGGTTTAATATTATTAAATTGCTGAAACTAAACAAAGATAGAGGGGATTTTGGGCTTGGTTTGGTGGGGTTTTTTTGTCACATCTGTGCAGGAAAGTAAACAAGTCCTTTGCCAAGGGGGCTGGCAGAGGTGGGATTTGCATCCCGCGCTCCAGGGAGCTGTATGAGGCGCATCCGCGGCGCGGCATCTCCCCATTGTGGCAGACTCTGGTACAGCCACGGGTCTCCAGCACAGCCTCTGCCTCTGGAGCAGGCTGTCTTCTACAGTTTTCTGAGCAGAGCAGATACGGGTCAGGAAGGATCCCAGCTGTGTATTCCTGGTCTGGTCGTGGTCCTGTGTCTCCTGCATCAGATCTTACCATGTATAGACCTGATCCCACCGTGTAAACCGGCACCCGCGTTGCTCCGACCCTCGAATACCCTCCAAGCCACCTTTCCACATGGGAAACTGCATTGTATGGAACTGTTTCCAACAGTTAACTTCTCTTGCTAAACCTTTGTTCTCCAGGCTCCCTAAATGGGACACAAGTGTCAGTTTCATGATGACACCTCCTGTTCAAGTGTGGCTTTCCTGTTTCCTGTGAACTGAGCTGTTCCAGTAACACGCAAGGAGATGCCAATCTGCCAGGCAGAGTCAGACAGCTGTGGCAATGAAGTAATGTCTCCTGTTTCATCTTGATTTTGTCTTGTAGTTGAAGGGCTGGCTTCTGAAGTTACAAGAGGGCAAAAACAATTCAGACTGTTTGACGACAGTGCAAAACATTCAGAGCTGTTGATCCCAAATTTAATATTTTACTGCTCTGATATATGGTTCTTGTGGGATTTAGTTGTGGCTGTTGAAAAATTTATCTCCCTTTATAGCTGTGTGAAAGAAATGTTTCAGTGGTGATACCTTAACTTGGATGCAGCTGTGTATCAGAGTCCTCAGCTGCTGGGGTTCACAGCCTGCTGTGAAGCAAAACCACGGGCATGCACCGTGTGCTGCACAGCCACGGCATGGAATGTTCCACTGCTCTGCCAGAGTGGCAGCCTCTTACAGCCAGCAATGACTCAGCAAAGCCAGGAAATAACCACAGAACGATGGACCCCGGCTCTGAGCCAAGTCTGATCAGTTTTTGCTGTTTTCTTGTTTACACAAGAAAATGCATCAGGCTAGCATATGCTGGGGCAGAAAGTATCCTGAAACATGGAAGGAACATTACTACTGACCACAAAGACACAGGAACAGTCCTGCAGCTTTTTCTCCAGAACAGCAAGATGTGATACAGGTGGCCACTGGCAAAGGGAAAAGGCTTTGAGGAAAGCACAAATGTGTTCATGGAAGCAGTTGAATACAAGAATTAATTCCTTTCAGAGACATTCTTGAGATACTGTCTTACATCATCTCATGCAGGTCTGCTTGGGTGTGTGGGGTTTTGTTGTGAGGCAGTTTTTTGTGCTTGTGGGAGAGTTGTGCAGGAGGTCTCTTATTAAAAAAACCAAACTTGCCAAATATATTTATCACATTTCTTACCACAGTAAACTTTCTCCAAATAGCTTTTCACTTTATACACCAAGCCTGACTGCAAAATCATGGCCTTATCCCAAGATTTTCCTCCAAAAAGAGATACCACATTGTGTTTTGGCTGCAGAATAAGTTTTATGTTTTTCATATTTATAATTTCTCTTTTTAAAAGGTGGGCATCTGGACAAATACAGACTTTCTTGAAATAAGTTTAATCAAAAGTTCTTTGTTCAGAATGTCTGGAAGGAATGTGATGACCATTTTTGCTCCCTCTCTCTTTCATTGCTTTCATGAGTATTTGCTGCATTTTCAGCCCTCACCACAGTCAGCATTGCTCCATCTGTCAGAAATTTCAATTGAATGTGTTACTCTGACATATAAAACTGTACAAAACTCGTGATGTTTTGTCTTTTTACACAGCCTGCCTTCTAGTCACTAGAGGGCAATGTCTCTCTGAAGCACAAACACCGATCCAGGATCTTGCTCTTAAAATCAGCATCTTATTATTATCATCGAGCTGAGACAAATGAGCTCGATTGATTTAATGCTGAATTCTGTTGCCAAAAAGGAGAGAAGAGACCATAGGGGAGCTTTATAATAAATAGCAAGACTTGAGTAAAAAGTCTCTAAATTCTGGAAGCCCTAAGAGCCAGAATATGGATTTATTGTTTCTGATAGGGTTGCAGTAATTCCCAACAGCCTTCAATTGGGAAAGCACCAACAAGCAAAGTGCAGGCAGGGTTCTGGGAAGGAGGGAACTTGCAGGAATAGCCACTGCCCTGCTCCATTAGGGTCCTGCCCTCTCTCCATTGGACTAGGCCATGACTCCCATGTGTGCCTACCCCTTAGGCTCCTCTGCCTCCCTCTTGTTTTCTCCCTCCTCCAGGAAAACAAAAAAATTCTCGGAACAAGTTTTCTGATGCCACCCCTTTGGCTCTGATGGGAATAGTTATTTTTCAGTGCACATCAAAGCTCTTTTAGTTCGTGGGACCCAGGTGTACACAGAGGCCATTACAGACCATCTACTCACCCTCACTTACACTCCATCTTCAGTTTGAAATGGTGCCCAGCAATGAAGTTAGATCACCTTGCAAACTATGTTCCCAGGGGGAGCAGCCTGGCCTCTCTGAGCAAAGCTGGAACATGGACAATGATAGGCAGGATAATTTTGCCTTCACTCTAAATATTTTTCTGCTTACCAATGCTAGGATTTCTGGTTTTGAAGAGAAACATATTTTTTATTATTATATCCCACCCCCAACACTCATCTGAGGGTCTTGCAATGTCATGTGAGATAGTGACACAGCAGCCAGTGCTCAAATCATGGTAAGAGATCCCACTCACCCTTTCAGGCCAACCTGTGCCATTACTGTAGAAGGCTGTGGTGCCCTTGACCTCCTTGGCATCTGACTTCTCTGGCTGGAGTAATATACACAATTTCAAAGGAAATTAAACAGCTCCAAGAAGCAAATGTGTTTTAGTCTATTCTGACCCAAACTATTGCAGCACAGAGAAATGGACGACGCTTTTATTAATTGTACCTTGTGTTAGTTGTACCTTGTGAGTTCTGCTTCAAGCAACATCTTTGAACTGAAAGAAAGGACAGGATCAGCACCTGGCTTTGAAAGCATCTCCTGGATGGGTGATGAAAAATGCACAGATGCCACCAGAAACCAAGCTTATGGAGAGTACAGAATGTATTTTTCATAGAAAAGATTGTCTAATTTACCATTAGCATCTTCACAAATACAAATTACAAGGAAATGCATTAAGGAAAGAATTAATCAAATTGAAAGGCTTTGTAGTAATTAGAAAAAAGAATGGCATCTTCCTAGGCTCCCCTGGGTGGTGGTAATTACCAGCTGCACAACTGTGGCTTATGCTACTTAAAGATTTCTGGACTAAAAATCTTACTATCATTTTGTTTCCATTCTTAGAAAGGCCACTCTTGGAATCAGGCAGCAACACAAGCCAGCAGCTCCGAGAAGCATGAACTGAGCCTGCTTCAGCCTGGGAGGGCACCACTTTATGGGCAGGGTGGTCCAGAGCCTGATCCCAAGCCATCTGTGGTGCATCTGGCCCACCACATTTTTCCTGTTGCCTTGGAGGAGATGGGCACCATTTGTTATCCAGCAACTTGAAAAGCCAAACCTCTTGTGCCACAGCTGCAGGCAGCCTTACACCCATCTGCTTCTGCAGCACATCCCAGCAGCAGAGGGCAGGCCATAGCCCTTCTGGTGACAGCATTGTCACCAACACAGCTGGGGGACCTGAAGGGCAAGGCTGCATGCACTGCAGCTCCAGGAGGCTAGCTAATGCATTCCAGGGGAAAAGTCTGGTTAATTCAGGAGAGCTGAAAGAAAGTCCAGTTTCAAGCTAGTAGTGAACAAAAACAAAAATGCAGTTCAGAGGAGACTTTAAAAATCCACGGTAAAAATTACTAAGGAAATGAACGTCAATGTTGAATTCCTAGGATCCCATTTTAAAAGGATGAGGACTAGGAGGAATGTCATCAGCCACCAAATCCATCTGCTGCTCTTC